CTGAACTAGTCTAACCCTAACCATAAAGTCATCTGAACCAGTCTAACCCTAAAGTAATCTGAACTAGTCTAACCCTAACCATAAAGTCATCTGAACTAGCCTAACCCTAAAGTAATCTGAACTAGTCTAACCCTAACCATAAAGTCATCTGAACCAGTCTAACCCTAAAGTCATCTGAACTAGTCTAACCCTAAAGTAATCTGAACTAGTCTAACCCTAACCATAAAGTCATCTGAACCAGTCTAACCCTAAAGTCATCTGAACTAGTCTAACCCTAAAGTCATCTGAACCAGTCTAACCCTAAAGTCATCTGAACTAGTCTAACCCTAAAGTCTTCTGAACTAGTCTAACCATAAAGTCCTCTCAACTAGTCTAACCCTAAAGTCATCTGAACTAAGCTATACCTAAAGTCTTCTGAACTAGTCTAACCCTAAAGTCATCTAAACTAGTCTAACCCTAATGTCATCTGAACTAGTCTAACCTAAAGTCATCTGAACTAGTCTAACCCTAAAGTCATCTGAACTAGTCTAACCCTAAAGTCATCTGAACTAGTCTAACCCTAAAGTCATCTGAACTAGTCTAACCCTAAAGTCATCTGAACTAGTCTAACCCTAAAGTCATCTGAACTAGTCTAACCCTAAAGTCATCTGAACTAGTCTAACCCTAAAGTCATCTGAACTAGTCTAACCCTAAAGTCATCTGAACTAGTCTAACCCTAAAGTCATCTGAACTAGTCTAACCCTAAAGTCATCTGAACTAGTCTAACCATAAAGTCCTCTCAACTAGTCTAACCCTAAAGTCATCTGAACTAATCTAAACCTAAAGTCATCTAAACTAGTCTAACCCTAAAGTCATCTGAACTAGTCTAACCCTAAAGTCATCTGAACTAGTCTAACCCTAAAGTCATCTGAACTAGTCTAACCCTAAAGTCATCTGAACTAGTCTAACCCTAAAGTCATCTGAACTAGTCTAACCCTAAAGTCATCTGAACTAGTCTAACCCTAAAGTCATCTGAACTAGTCTAACTCTAAAGTCATCTGAACTAGTCTAACCCTAAAGTCATCTGAACTAGTCTAACCCTAAAGTAATCTGAACTAGTCTAACCCTAAAGTCATCTGAACTAGTCTAACCCTAAAGTCCTTCTGAACTAGTCTAACCCTAATGTCATCTGAACTAGTCTAACCCTAAAGTCATCTCAACTAGTCTAACCCTAAAGTCATCTGAACTAGTCTAACCCTAAAGTCATCTGAACTAGTCTAACCCTAAAGTCTTCTGAACTAGTCTAACCCTAAAGTCATCTGAACTAGTCTAACCCTAAAGTCTTCTGAACTAGTCTAACCCTAAAGTCATCTGAACTAGTCTAACTCTAAAGTCATCTGAACTAGTCTAACCCTGAGTTCTCTGAACTAGTCTAACCCTAAAGTCATCTGAACTAGTCTAACCATAAAGTCCTCTCAACTAGTCTAACCCTAAAGTAATCTGAACTAGTCCAACCCTAAAGTCATCTGAACTAGTCTAACCCTAAAGTCATCTGAACTAGTCTAACCCTAAAGTCTTCTGAACTAGTCTAACCCTAAAGTCATCTGAACTAGTCTAACTCTAAAGTCATCTGAACTAGTCTAACCCTGAGTTCTCTGAACTAGTCTAACCCTGAGTTCTCTGAACCAGTCTAACCCTGAGTTCTCTGAACTAACCCTAAAGTAATCTGAACTAGTCTAGCCCTGAGTTCTCTGAACTAACCCTAAAGTAATCTGAACTAGTCTAACCCTGAGTTCTCTGAACTAACCCTAAAGTAATCTGAACTAGTCTAACCCTGAGTTCTCTGAACCAGTCTAACCCTGAGTTCTCTGAACTAGTCTAACCCTGAGTTCTCTGAACCAGTCTAACCCTGAGTTCTCTGAACTAAAGTCCACATGTGCTTTAGCTCTGCAGTATTGACCTCATCTCTGTGTCTATGTTCTGCTCACTCAGTGTGACGTACCAACAGGATTTAACTTTAACGGCGTGAGAGGACGCTGGCGCTGACTGTTCGCCGCTTCTCTGTCCGAAAGTCTCGTCTTTCTTTGTGTTAATCTAAGAGTTTCTGACCACTTTCTACTGCTATAGTTTTCTAACTATTCTGTGGCTTTTGTGTTCTGATCTGGACATATTTGTTACACCCGATTGCCATTTTTGACGGACGCTTTGGTTTTCTACCCTGCTACACCTGCCATTGTAGCCCACCTGCTAACGCTGCTCCATCGCCTTTCAAAGAAATCCTCCCTCATAGTCCATTACATAAGCTACAAAATCCATCTCAATGCATACAAAGATGCTCTTATTGCCGCTAAATCTGCCTACCTCTCCAACATCTTCATTGACCCCTCCTGTAACCCCAGGACCCTCTTCTCCACAGTTAACAAGCTCTTCAAAGCCCGTGCTGATAACCTCCCTACTTCTACTTCCGCTACTTGCAGCTCATTCCTCCAGTTTTTCGCAGACAAAATGAACGCCATTAACCACTCCTTCTCAGCTCCATCTGATATACAAGCATCTCCCCCAACCTCCACCACTACCATTTCTCCCCCCATCTCCCTCGACCTCCTGACTCCTCCCCAGCGCCGCCTCTCCCAGTTCAACCTGGTTACCCCACTTGAAATACTCCATCTGATCGGTTCCTCAAATCCCACAACCTGCTCCCTTGACCCTCTACCCACTCCTCTCCTGAAGTCCTGCCTCCCCGTCCTCTGCCCCTATCTTGCTAACCTTTTCAACTCCTCGCTGTCCCATGGAACCGTCCCCTCTGCTTTCAAAACTGCTGCCGTTACTCCAATCCTCAAAAAACCTGGTCTTGATCCCTCCTCCCTCACTAATTACCGCCCTATCTCCAACCTACCATTCCTCTCAAAAACTCTTGAACGCATTGTAGCCAAACAAATTCACCGCCATCTCCAAACCAACCAGCTTTACGAACCCCTTCAGTCTGGATTTCGTCCTCACCACAGTACAGAAACTGCACTCGTCAAAGTCCTCAATGACCTCCTCACCTCTGCTGACACAGGTTCCCTCAATATTCTCATCCTCCTCGACCTGAGTGCAGCCTTCGATACAGTGAGCCACAACATCCTGCTCACCCGACTCAGGGACATTGGTATTGAAGGTATTGCACTCAGATGGCTCCAGTCCTACCTCACTGAACGATCCCACTTCATCTCCCTCCCAAACCACTCCTCTGCCACAGCCTCAGTCACCCGATGCGTTCCTCAAGGATCAGTACTTGGCCCCCTCCTCTTCATCATTTACATCCTCCCCCTCGGTAAGATACTCCGCCACTTCAACCTCGACTTCCACTGCTATGCTGATGACACTCAGATCTACCTCAGCACCAAACCCCTCCATAACCCACCCCTTACCCACATCGATTCCTGTCTGACAGCTATTACAACTTGGATGCAACATAACCTCCTCAAACTGAACAGCAACAAAACAGGACTCCTCCTAATCGGCTCCAAATCCACCCTCAGCAAGGTCACTAACATAACTCTCACCATCGATGGCACCATTGTTTCCCCCTCCAATCAGGCACGCCACCTTGGCGTAATCTTTGACCCCACCCTCTCCCTCGAACCTCACACCGCCAAACAGTCAAAACCTCATTTTTCCACCTCCGCAATATTGCAAAAATCCTACCCTCTCTCACCCGCCCCGCAGCCGAGCGACTAATCCATGCCTTCATTTCCTCCCGCCTCGACTACTGCAACTCACTTCTTTACGGCATCAGCACTACATCCCTCAACAGACTCCAACGGGTTCAACATGCAGCTGCACGTCTCCTCACGCATACCAAATCATGGCATCACATCACCCCAGTCCTCAAAGACCTCCACTGGCTTCCTGTCTCCCATCGCATCAACTACAAAGTTCTGGTCCTCACCTACAAAGCCCTCCACCATCTGCCCCCCCCTTATCTCACAAACCTTCTCACTCCTTATCAACCCCCACGGTCCCTCAGATCCACCGCAGCCGGACTCCTATCCACTCCCACATCCACACTCTGCAGCTTTGGGGACAGAGCCTTCTCAGTGGCAGCTCCTAGGCTCTGGAACCCCCTCCCCCAAGATCTCCGTGACTCTGAGACCCTCATAGTCTTTCAGTCCCGCCTCAAAACACATCTTTCCAACTCTGTCTACCCATAAGCCCCCCCCCTCTCAATCAACTTCCTCTTGACTGCCTTTTTATTTTTTACATACTTGTTTGCCTGTCCTTGTTTGTCTCCCCTCCCTCATTCTGTAAAGCGTCTTTGAGTTGTGAAAAGCGCTATATAAATAAAATGCATCATCATCATCAGGATGAATCTCAGCTTCATCCAAACTAAACTGTTGTTGTTTCCTGTGAGTTGTGTTCCAGCGATGCAGTGAACACAACACATGAGTACAGCAGCACCTCTACTGTTCTCAGTGTAACTGCTGACACACACATGATGAAAGCTGTTCTTACCTTCTGAAGAGAATCTGCTGATGAGTGACGGTGGAATGAATCAGCAGCTCCAAGCAGAGACAGAACTAACATGTAACTCCCAGCAGGAGGTCTCCACAGCTCAGTTGATTCACATACAGTCTAACTCTGTGTGTTCATGTCCAGCTGAACTATGAAGAGCTCCTCTGAACTCTGGAGCCAACGAGCTGGAGCACCTCAGGTCAAACATTAACACACTTTATTAAACATTATCATCCTGATCATAAAGGTCTGCAGTTTTATCCTCAGAGACTTTGATTTTACAACATGGAAATAAAAAGAGGCAAGGTGCGTTTCTCTGGCGGCCGACAGGTGCAAACAGCCCAGAACACCGAGGAGATTAGAGGTGGTGCTCCGGGTCCAGGGAGACAGCTAACACTCGGAGCGAGGCAGAATCCTGGCCCCCAACTCCCCACCGGATACATCTTTCACTCCAGGGAGCTCTGGGAAACATTGTCCACCAGGGCCAGAAAAGGACATCAGACATGTAAAACACGTGCCCCAGGTTTACTTCTTGAAGATAGTTTATTTTATGAAACAACAGACAGAATACAGCTTTGTTTTGAGGTCGAGAGAACAAGTTCAAAGTAAATCCTATCAAATAAGTGTCTTTCTTCTGCATTTGATATAGACACTACATGAACACCCTATAAATGATGAATGCAAGTAATACATAGGTGTTTAAGGTGATTTCATATTTTTCACATCTCCTCCTTTTCCTTGCCGATTACAACCGAAAGCAACCCTTGGGATATCAGATCAGGTTAGACAGAATAATGACTTTTGAAGTTTGAGTGGACCGCCTTCTGTTGAGCGCTTTTCCAGGTGTTTCTGAATATTCAGACAATTTTAAAATTATGTATTTTTTCGGAGAATCTGACCATTTTGACTTCCATCGGAAAGTTTGGGATATTTTCAAATTATGTATTTTTTTCAGAAAATCTAAAAACTCTGACTTTTTCCTGACAATTCTGACTTTTTCTTGAAAATAAAAAATTCTGCATTTTTTCTGAAAATTCTGTATTTTTTCTGACATTCTGAAAATTGTAAAATTCTGACTTAATAAATGTGTGACTCGTCTCTGAGTTTACAGACAGCTCAACCTGACATGGATAAAGTGATAATAAACTAGATCTTAGATCATTTTCTGTATTTATTTTATTCACTGAAAAGTTGTGGTGTTAAAATATTCGTCTTGTTTATTCAGGACGCTGAGTAGAGAGTCTGAGGTCAGTTTGAAAAAACAGCTGGTACATTTTTTATGTAAACAGATGATTTTTAGGAAACTTTAATCTTTGTGTTCGTCGCCCGGCTGTGGGTTTCCTTCTCAGGTTGATTTCACTTTAGGAAGTCCTGAAGACGTCAGGAAAGATTAAAGATGCAGCAGGTGTTTGTGTCTCGCGTTAAAGCCCTCGGGTTCGTCCGTGATGAAGCCTGTGCTCATCATAGTGCCAATGGGGAACCTAATGAAGAACCTCTAGGGAACCGGAGGATTTTCAGAGTGGACCTCTGGAGATGTTCCCGGCGTCCTCACATCGTGAAGGACGAGCCGTTCTCACTGGACACGGAGCGGCGGGTGGACACGTAGATCTCGGAAGTGACCCTGGAGAAGCGCCGGGGCCGGATGTACCTCTTCCCCAGGCACCACAGGTCCTGCACGATCCTCTGGAAGTGGTTCCTGAATTTCACCCCGACGAAGGCGTACAGCACGGGGTTCAGGCAGCAGTGCAGGTAGGCCAGGGTCTGCGTCACCGTCTTGGCTGTCTTCAGGAAGTCCACATCCTCGCAGCTCTGCAGATTGAACATGCTGGTGGTGTCGTACAGCAGCGTGAGGTTGTAGGGCAGGTGGCAGACCACGAACACAGCCACCACGGCCAGCACCACGCGCACCGCCTTGTGGCGCTGGAAGTTCCTGGCCTTCAGCAGCGTGCCCACGATGGCGCTGTAGCAGAAGACCATGACGAGCAGCGGCAGGAAGAAGCCCACGGCCAGCTGCATGCTGGGCAGCGCCACCTTGGAGGTCAACGCCTCGGTGGAGTCCATGAACCTGAGCTCGCAGACGTACTCTGTGCTGTCGGTGCTGTTCCCGTCCTCCTCGTCCATGAAGAAGTCCCTGCTGTGGGTCGGCTGGTACAGGCTGTAGAAGTAGAAGGAGGGCACGGACAGCAGTACTGCGAGCACCCACACGGCGGCGCAGATGAGGCGGCTGTAGGTCAGCGAGCGCAGTCTGAAGCTGCGGCGTGCCTGCACGATGGCCACGTAGCGGTCGCTGCTGATGCAGGCGAGCAGCAGCGTGCCGCTGTACAGGTTCACGCTGTAGGAGCCGCGCAGCAGCTTGCACACCACCGGACCCATGGACCACGCCGTCAGCTCGTTGTAGACGATGAGCGGCAGCGAGGCCACGAACAGCAGGTCGGCCACCGCCACGTTCAGCAGGTACACGTCCGTCATGGACTTGGTCCTCTTGTAGAGGGCGTAGGTGACGATCACCAGGCTGTTGCCCACCAGGCCCAGGATGCAGATGATGGAGTGAACGTACGGCCCAACGACCAGCTGCACACTGTGGTTGTTCTGCTGAGCGCACGGAGGGACCAGGTCGTAGTCAAAGTCTGTGTCGTTGTTGTCCAGATACGATTGGTTGGACACATCCTCCAGTGAGTCCATCTTCTGCTGCTGTGGAGAGACAGAAGAAGACATCCCACTGAGAACCATTTACTACATTGAAGAGTCACTCTGTGTTCTGTAGGTGCATGTGAACACTCACGCTGCTATTGGCTAGCGCTCCTACACATTGTACCGATAGGCTAAGGGGCGGGACATCTCTAAGCTGGTTGACCAATCACAACGGAGCCGGCCCGCTAACCAATCAGAGCGGACTGGGCTCTGGTTTCAGACAGAGGGTGAAAAGAGGTGCTGAAGCACAGGCAGTATGACAACATTAAAGAGCTTTTTGAACATTAGAGCATAGAGACACTACATACTGATATACACCTGAACATCAGCAGGAGAGGACTCTTTAAAGTAGAGACACTACATACTGATATACACCTGAACATCAGCAGGAGAGGACTCTTTAAAGTAGAGACACTACATACTGATATACACCTGAACATCAGCAGGAGAGGACTCTTTAAAGTAGAGACACTACATACTGATATACACCTGAACATCAGCAGGAGAGGACTCTTTAAAGTAGGGACACTACATACTGATATACACCTGAACAACAGCAGCAGAGGACTCTTTAAAGTAGGGACACTACATACTGATATACACCTGAATATCAGCAGGAGAGGACTCTTTAAAGTAGGGACACTACATACTGATATACACCTGAACATCAGCAGGAGAGGACTCTTTAAAGTAGAGACACTACATACTGATATACACCTGAACATCAGCAGGAGAGGACTCTTTAAAGTAGGGACACTACATACTGATATACACCTGAATATCAGCAGGAGAGGACTCTTTAAAGTAGAGACACTACATACTGATATACACCTGAACATCAGCAGGAGAGGACTCTTTAAAGTAGAGACACTACATACTGATATACACCTGAACATCAGCAGGAGAGGACTCTTTAAAGTAGAGACACTACATACTGATATACACCTGAACATCAGCAGGAGAGGGACTCTTTAAAGTAGAGACACTACATACTGATATACACCTGAACATCAGCAGGAGAGGACTCTTTAAAGTAGAGACACTACATACTGATATACACCTGAACATCAGCAGGAGAGGACTCTTTAAAGTAGAGACACTACATACTGATATACACCTGAACATCAGCAGGAGAGGACTCTTTAAAGTAGAGACACTACATACTGATATACACCTGAACATCAGCAGGAGAGAACTCTTTAAAGTAGAGACACTACATACTGATATACACCTGAACATCAGCAGCAGAGGACTCTTTAAAGTAGAGACACTACATACTGATATACACCTGAACATCAGCAGGAGAGGACTCTTTAAAGTAGAGACACTACATACTGATATACACCTGAACATCAGCAGGAGAGGACTCTTTAAAGTAGAGACACTACATACTGATATACACCTGAACATCAGCAGGAGAGGACTCTTTAAAGTAGAGACACTACATACTGATATACACCTGAACATCAGCAGGAGAGGACTCTTTAAAGTAGAGACACTACATACTGATATACACCTGAACATCAGCAGGAGAGGACTCTTTAAAGTAGAGACACTACATACTGATATACACCTGAACATCAGCAGGAGAGGACTCTTTAAAGTAGAGACACTACATACTGATATACACCTGAACATCAGCAGGAGAGGACTCTTTAAAGTAGAGACACTACATACTGATATACACCTGAACATCAGCAGGAGAGGACTCTTTAAAGTAGAGACACTACATACTGATATACACCTGAACATCAGCAGGAGAGGACTCTTTAAAGTAGAGACACTACATACTGATATACACCTGAACATCAGCAGGAGAGGACTCTTTAAAGTAGAGACACTACATACTGATATACACCTGAACATCAGCAGGAGAGGACTCTTTAAAGTAGAGACACTACATACTGATATACACCTGAACATCAGCAGGAGAGGACTCTTTAAAGTAGAGACACTACATACTGATATACACCTGAACATCAGCAGGAGAGGACTCTTTAAAGTAGAGACACTACATACTGATATACACCTGAACATCAGCAGGAGAGGACTCTTTAAAGTAGAGACACTACATACTGATATACACCTGAACATCAGCAGGAGAGGACTCTTTAAAGTAGAGACACTACATACTGATATACACCTGAACATCAGCAGGAGAGGACTCTTTAAAGTAGAGACACTACATACTGATATACACCTGAACATCAGCAGGAGAGGACTCTTTAAAGTAGAGACACTACATACTGATATACACCTGAACATCAGCAGGAGAGGACTCTTTAAAGTAGAGACACTACATACTGATATACACCTGAACATCAGCAGGAGAGGACTCTTTAAAGTAGAGACACTACATACTGATATACACCTGAACATCAGCAGGAGAGGACTCTTTAAAGTAGAGACACTACATACTGATATACACCTGAACATCAGCAGGAGAGGACTCTTTAAAGTAGAGACACTACATACTGATATACAGCCTGAACATCAGCAGGAGAGGACTCTTTAAAGTAGAGACACTACATACTGATATACACCTGAACATCAGCAGGAGAGGACTCTTTAAAGTAGAGACACTACATACTGATATACACCTGAACATCAGCAGGAGAGGACTCTTTAAAGTAGAGACACTACATACTGATATACACCTGAACATCAGCAGGAGAGGACTCTTTAAAGTAGAGACACTACATACTGATATACACCTGAACATCAGCAGGAGAGGACTCTTTAAAGTAGTAATGTTTCTTAAGTTTGTAGATGTTGGTGTTTCTGAAGCTGCAGCGTTTCCCCTGATGGGAGTTTGGGGTCGTTGCGTGTCGGCCTCCGTAGGTCACAGAGGGGGAAGACGTGCATTAGACGTCTAAATGATATGTAAGTGGCACAGAGCTGGGTGAGAGCGCTGTGGTCGCTGCAGGACGTCTGTTCTCAGGAGAGACAGGAAGTCTGCAGAGAAACCAGGTCAGTGACCCAGATCAGAGGCTCCACACAGCGCCACAGGAATACAAACAACCTGCAGACGAGAACGTCTTTGAGATGAAAATAAGTCAAAGAGATAAATGTGCAGCTAACATAAAGTTATTTTAAAAAGTCCCTGAAAGGTAATAAAATAAAGGTTTTTAAACCCAAAAGTCTGAAGTTTTAGATCAATGTTATAATGATTTAATTTAAATGATAGCATGAAGTCATTAAACTCTTGTAAGAGCAGAGTACAGAAACATGTGCAGATAATACTCTAAACATTTACTATTATTATTATTATTATTATAAAGAGAGGGTAGATATATTACATAAATATAAATAATGAAGCCTATTCCCAGAAACAAATTACTTTTAAAGATCTTATTCTGGACTTTCCATCAAACGTCACATTTGCATGTTTTTACCATGTGAATGATGAAACGTTAATATCTTTGACTCAATGAGGACATCTGTTCAGAAAGCTCTTTATTCTCCTCTCACTGCCTGAGCTGCAGCTCCTCTGTTCACCCTCTGTCTGAAACCAGAGCTGCTCTGATTGGTTAGCTGGCCGTCTCTACTGTGATTGGTCAACCAGCTTAGAGATGTCCCGCCTCATGTTCAATGTGTTGGAGCGCTAGCCAATAGCAGCGTGCGTGTTCCGTAGTGATGTCACCGTGTCCTGGAAGTAAACAACAACAGTCTAGAGTCGGTGAATCCTTCCTTCAGTTAGAACAGAGGCAGAATGTTTTCTATCAGCTGCTCGGACTCCTGTGAGCGCAGATAAGCGCTGATGTTTACAGACAGCTGGCTGTTCCTCAAACGCCTCACAGTTCCCGCTCTGCACTTCTGCTCTCTGCAGGTCGTCCTCTGCGACTTCTCCTATTTCAAATGTCAAACAGACTTCAGTTTGATGTTGGAGACGCAGACTTTATTTTAATTCTGTGCCGATAAAGGTACACTTTCTGTGCGTTTAACGACTTCCTTTAAATCCACTTCCTTCATTTATATGTATGAACAGTTTCCTCTGAGAACACTCTGACTAACACAAAGCGAACCTTCTGAAGAGAGTAAGGACGCATTCACACCAGCCGTGTTCAGTCCCTTTGAATCGAACCCCGGTGCGTTTGGTTTGGGTCGGTGTGAACGCAGTCCGAGACCCCCGAAGTGAACTGAACCACCTGAAAGAGGTGGTCTCAGACCCCTGAACTGAACCACCTGAAAGAGGTGGTCTCAGACCCCCGAACTGAACCACCTGAAAGAGGTGGTCTCAGACCCCCGAACTGAACCACCTGAAAGAGGTGGTCTCAGACCCCCGAACTGAACCACCTGAAAGAGGTGGTCTCAGACCCCCGAACTGAACCACCTGAAAGAGGTGGTCTCAGACCCCCGAACTGAACCACCTGAAAGAGGTGGTCTCAGACCTCCGAACTGAACCACCTGAAAGAGGTGGTCTCAGACCTCCGAACTGAACCACCTGAAAGAGGTGGTCTCAGACCCCTGAACTGAACCACCTGAAAGAGGTGGTCTCGGACCCCTGAACTGAACCACCTGAAAGAGGTGGTCTCGGACCCCTGAACTGAACCACCTGAAAGAGGTGGTCTCGGACCCCTGAACTGAACCACCTGAAAGAGGTGGTCTCAGACCCCTGAACTGAACCACCTGAAAGAGGTGGTCTCAGACCCCTGAACTGAACCACCTGAAAGAGGTGGTCTCAGACCCCCGAACTGAACCACCTGAAAGAGGTGGTCTCAGACCTCCGAACTGAACCACCTGAAAGAGGTGGTCTCAGACCTCCGAACTGAACCACCTGAAAGAGGTGGTCTCAGACCCCTGAACTGAACCACCTGAAAGAGGTGGTCTCGGACCCCTGAACTGAACCACCTGAAAGAGGTGGTCTCAGACCCCTGAACTGAACCACCTGAAAGAGGTGGTCTCAGACCCCTGAACTGAACCACCTGAAAGAGGTGGTCTCGGACCCCTGAACTGAACCACCTGAAAGAGGTGGTCTCAGACCCCTGAACTGAACCACCTGAAAGAGGTGGTCTCAGACCCCTGAACTGAACCACCTGAAAGAGGTGGTCTCGGACCCCTGAACTGAACCACCTGAAAGAGGTGGTCTCAGACCCCTGAACTGAACCACCTGAAAGAGGTGGTCTCAGACCCCTGAACTGAACCACCTGAAAGAGGTGGTCTCGGACCGCTTGCTAGTGAACTCTGGAGCGGATCATCTCTGGTGTGAACGCAGTCTGCACCAAAACACAGGAAGCGTAGTATTCACGAGTCACCAGAACGCGGATGTCTTCAAAGTCTTTAGTGAACGAGTGAAGCAGGATGAGGAGTTGAACAGAGTCGTGTAAAGTTAAAACGCTCCGTCAACTAAACATGAAAGTCAGAGCACCTTCCGTCGGTGAGACCCCCTCCTGACTGCAGGACGTCGCTCATCATGGGTGCTGTGATGTTTCTTAACGCATGTTGTCTGATCATATGCGGGCCCCTCAAGTCCATTGATCTGATCTCCAGATTAACAGCAGCATGAGAATAACCTGCCGATGCTCCAAAGCTATGGTAGAAATGGGTTGAACAGCATTTCCGTGCACAAGACTGGTGTTCACAGTTCATAGTCCGTTTGAGTTTAATCCATGTGAAACCGAACCTTCTGAGAAATGACCCAATGCAACAAACTGTGGTCTGGAGCAGAGAAGACACTCGGTGTGTCTGCGACCTGAGAGGATGGTAATGGGTTAGGGCTCCAGAGCCAGAGCCCTAACCCATTACCATCCTCTCAGGTCGCAGACACTCGGTATGTCTGCGACCTGAGAGGATGGTAATGGGTTCGGGCTCCAGAGCCAGAGCCCTAAAGGGGAGCATTATCTCAAAGTGAAAACACAAACTGTCACAGGGTTGAAGTTTTAAAATAAAAACACAAATAACATTGCTCTAGCGACCTGTCAATCACAGGTAGCCCCGCCCTGAAGCATACGCTGCTGTGTCTATTTTACTCTAAAAGGGATCATAATTGACTCAATGAACTTCATGCTGTTGGAGAAGACTGGAAGCTACAGATCGAGATCACAAACTCTTCAGGGAAATGTTCACTGAGGTAACAAAGAGAGAGAGAAGGAGGAACATTTCCTCATAGACTTCTCTACAATCTGAGGACACGCCCCCTCCTGGACGTCAGAGGGAATGCAGGTTTAATTAGCTTCTGCAAAGAACATTGCTGGGTGAGAGCTAAATGCTAACAGCTAGCTCTGGCCCTCCTACGCAACGTTCACTCCGAATCAGAAACACATTTCCGAGAACCTTTCAGATGTGGCAAGAGTTTCTCGGTTCTATCTTTTTGTGATGATCATAAGGAGTTCTAATTCCCACTGTGTTTCTTTACAACACAATATTCATACTGTGATTAGTTACGGAGAGTGCTCATACCTGCCAGCCTGATGAGTCAGACACCTTCCACTCCGTTCCCTTCAAAGGCAACAGTGACAGAGTCTCACGGTGAGATGCACGATCTGTCAAGAAGAGACTGGTTATGTTTAGCTGTTCCTCTTTATGTTTATTTGCAGCAGATTCCGTTTCGTGTTTCAGTTTGAAATCTTTAGAAACTTCACAAACTAAAATAACAAGATAAAAAGTACCTTGAACTGAGTCCTGAACAGAGATAGAAGCAGACGTTAAACCAGCGTATGATTTCACATTCAACTCTTAGATCAAACTGACTGTGTTGGATATCATATTATATATATATATATATATCGTATTATATATATATATATATATATATATATGAATATATATATATATATT